TTTAAGTTAGTGTGAACAAGTCATTTCCTGTTGCCAGCAGGTGGCGCTATAATTATAACTGAATATTGGCCTTTAAATGTGTTCAGGCCAGAACTCTTAGAAAACGTGTGAAGTTTTGGGCAGATTGGACATTGAAAAAGGAAGTTGTTGTAACTCATGCATACATAGTATTAATAGCATGCTTTAACACTTAGTAAGTGTTGCTAGCATTTTTGAGCATATATTAGCATGTTTAGCACACAATGGCATATTTTACTGTGTTGCTAATAGTGCATCACAGTGTAAAACATGTCACTTCCTGTTGCCAGTAGGTGGTGCTATAACTATAACCAAATATGAGCATGTAGATGTCTTCAGGCCAGGACTCTGATCAAACATGTGAAGTTTGAGGCAGATTAGACATTGTATGCATGAGTTATAGAAACTTTCTGTTTCACTGCATTAATAGCATGCTTTAACACTTAGCTAAGTGTTGCTAAAATGTTTTAAAATGCTTCTAGCATGTTGCCAGCCTATTTAACACTTGCTGACGCTTTTTATTATGTTGCTAGGAGTCCATAACAGTGTTAACCATGACACTTCCTGTTGTCAGCAGGTGGCGATATGAGTACAACTGAATTTGCTAGCATGTTTTAGTATGTTTCTAGCACATTGCCAGCCTATTTAATACTTGCTGACACTTTTTAAAATGCTGCTAGGAGTCTATAACAGTGTAAAACATGTCACTTCCTGTTACCAGCAGGTGGCGCTATGACTATGACTGAATATGGGCATGGATATGTGTTCAGGACAGAACACCTATCAAACATGTGACGTTTGGGGCAGATCGGACATTGCTTGCCTGAGTTACAGCAACTTCCTGTTTCATGGAGAAACATCAAACTTTGTCAGGACGCCAGGGACACGCCCTTTGACAAACTCAAGATCTTCGCAATTTAGCATCGCAAAGGCCTTATAATTACACTGAAAATGGCAAAAACTGCACGAAAATCATACAGGAAAATCAAAATAACGGACGTCCTGTTCGGTTTCGGATTTTGAACCATGAGACTTTTTTGTAGGTATTGGTGTGTTACATGTGTGTACCAAGTTTCGTACACGTACATGAAACGTAGCTCGAGGGGCACTTCGTTGAAATTTTATAGGTGGCGCTATCAAGCCATTTTGCCACACCCACTTCTTAAAGTGCTTAGGCCCTAAAAACTATTTTTTTGGGAGCTATTGATTTACGGAAGAAAAAGCAAGCAGCGATGGCGGGCCCAAGCCATCAGTGCAAACGCCACCCCGGTGGCATCAGGAAAACTGTGCCCAGCGGGCACATGCATTTACAGTATACAGTAACCAGTCTGGTTTTAAGGGATACGGCAATTAAAGGGTTAATCCAAACCATCAAGACTGTGAAATGTGAAACAGCACAACAATATATAAAACTTTAGTAACACTTTACAATAAGGTTTCAGTTATTAACATTAACTATATTAATTAACATGAACAATAATTATATAGCATGCATTATTGTCAGTTAATATTCAAAACTTAACAACGT